CTCTTGCTGCTACTGCTCTCAGCCATTAAGTCCATACTGTTTCCTAGTCAGGAATAGTAGTAATAATAATAATCACAATAACAGGAGCACTATTAGCACCACCAGATTAATGGCTCTAGTATCCCTGTTGCTTTGCACCCACTTACTTTGGGGCACATCTCTCACACTGTCCTGCTTGATCTCTCAGCACCCATGTTTACCCAGCACAGAGAGGATGATACAGCTCATCTCTGTCACCATACCAGAGCTCCCTGATATCTGCAGCTCAGGGGAGGGGCTCCAGCCTGGTAATGGGCATTTTATAGCGCATGCTGGTGGCTCACAACACTAATTTCTCACAAGGTGTGTTCAGCCCCCAAAAGACCTTTCCTCTCCTGCTCCCATGCTTTACTCCTCTGAAAACTCCAGGCTGAAGCTTTGCTCCCTGTGGGACTCACTGCCTCTCGTAGGGTCCAGATGTATGCATACAGCACGTCTCACTCTGAACACAAGCAGCACAACCAAATAACCACACATTCAGCTTACAACCAGGTGTAGCTCCTTTGCAGCTCCTCTGCTTCAGCTACCAGGGGGGCAGAAGCCAAAGGAGTTATCTTCTCTGAGATTTTGTACTTTTTCAACTTGGAATTCCATAGGGAAAATCATCCTGGCTCCATCCTTTCTATGTGTCATTGGATTTGTCCAAAAGAAAAAGCCCAAATCCACTTTTCTTTTATTCAAATGGGCCACCTAGCTACACATCAGTCTAGGATTGTGCCTTGAACTGATACTTGCTTTTAGATAATGTTTAATATTAGCTAAGCTTTAAATCAAAATCTCCATCCCAGCAAGAGGTTGTAAAGGGATGCTGCAGCCACAGACCCAGCACAGGAACCCTCCTCTTGCCTGCCTGGTTTGGCCACCTCAGCACATAGAAGAGCCAGCTTCTTGGCAGGCGTGGGGTAAGGCATGCAGGGGGGAGAGAGGGAGCAATGCTCACACTTGCTGCTCCCCAGGGAACAGCAGCAGAGAGCTCCTTGCAAAGGCAGTTGTAAAAAGATCTCCTGCCCTTCTGCCAGTGACTGAGACAGGGGATGCATGTGGGGACTCGCTGCAAACTGCTGTAGTTTGGGCAGATAGCACCTGGACCACATCCAATGCTGGCATAAGGCACCAAAGCCTACTGCAAGTGTAGCCCCTGGACCAGAGCTACTAGCCCAGCATAGCTGGGCTTCCAGTTATTTAGGATGCTCTGTACCACAGCCACCCTCCAGCCTGACCCCAAACTCGGTCATGCTCCCACCTCTTCACCCACATCCCAGGCTTGAATAGACCTGGGGGAACCCATCCTGGACAAACTTACCCCCTTGAGAAAACAGCCTTTCACTCCTTACTGCTCCTGCACCCTCCTCCTTGCCAGCCACCATCCCACAATTAGGGCTTTGGGCAGGATGTGGAGCTTTTGAGAGCGTGAGGGCTCGTCTCCCTTTCCCACAGGCACCTGTGGCTCCACAGCCCAGATGCCAGGTGGCTCTTCCAATTCACACATTCAGCTTACAACCAGGTGTAACTCCTTTGCAGATCCTCTGCTTCAGCTCCCAGGGGAGCAGAAGCCAAAGGAGTTATCTCCTCTGAGATTTTGTACTTTTTCAACTGGGAATTCCATAGGGAAAAGCATCCTGGCTCCATCCTTTTCTCTGTGGCTTGTTTGCCATAAACCCCATGAACCCTCATTTGCAAGTCCTAAAAGACCTGAGTGCTCAGGCTGGCTCAGCTCCATCCATCTGCAGCTGCCTCCTCATTCTGAAGCTGGCTGTGCCCTGCTGCTCCTTGCCCACAGGGCAGACATTGCTATGGGGTGGCCTTGTCTCATGGCACATGTGTTCCACAGTGGCACCAGTGGCTGCCAACCAAACACAAGCTTCCCAAGGATCACCTCAAACCCTGGAGCTTTTTGTACATAGCAGGGGAGGCTTTTTAAACTCAAACCTTAAAGAGAGGGGGCAATGCTTGTGTGAACACTCGTGTGCATGCTGGGTGGTGGGACACGAGGGCTAGAGGTAGCAGCCAGGTTTGTGAGTGCTTTAATTGCCTCCGGGAATTGCTCAGTGTTGACCTGGTGTTGGCTTTGTAACCCACTTTCCAAAGGGACCCCAGCACACAGAATCCTCTGTGCTCTGCCTGCGAGTTATTCAGTACCCTCCTGTCTCACTCTGAATGTTCTATTCTACCAATTTTCAGCCATAATTAACAGAGGGTGAGCTGTGAATCCGTCTAAATCCGGATAAGCTTCACAAAAGGAAAAAACTGGACAGCATGTCCCTGCTAGGCTGTGCTGCGCGGGGGGCAGCAGTCTGGGGCAGCATGGGGTAGGACAGTAGGGAAGGGAGGGGAGTGACCAGGATGGGCTGGAGGATGGGCTAGAATAAGATGGGATTGGAGGGGGTGAGCACCCAGCTGGGGATCTGCAGCCCTTGTGCTGCTCCTGGGAAGGGAGCCATCTCCCCCACAGCCGCAGTCATCCTTTGGCATGTGGGGGGCTTTCAGCTGGGAATAGCAGCACTGGCAGGGGGATGGGGGCAGTGGGGTGGGAAACGGGGACACACCTCACTTCCAGTCAGTATTTTGGCAAGTTTAAAAATCACCGAGCATGGGGTGGGGGGAGCAGGATCTGAAGGAGAAGGTGAATGAGCTTGTGTCAAACTGCTCTGGCTACGTCAGCCCAGGATTGTCAGTACTTGCATGCAGAGGGAGCTCTTCTGCGCTGAGGCTGCTCCACGCATAGCAGCATCTTCCCTCCTCATCCTCCTATGTGCCAAAAGGGAAACTCATTTGGGGGTGGTTCTACATCTGCATTAAACCTTTGTTGTTGTTTTAGTTTGTTTTTTTTTTTTTTTTTTTTTTTTTTTGGTTTTTTTTTTTTATGTTTTACAGCTGGCTTCCCAGATTCTCCAGCTCCTCATCCTGGGCACGGACAGAAAAGACAAGATCTGATGCAGCCCTGAGCTGGCACAAACCCCCCTGGTCTCATGGCAAGAGCTCATTCAAGGCCTGGGCTGTGCCAGTGCAGCACATAGGGAGAATTTCTGCTGGGAAATCTGCTTGGGACACCTTAATAAATAACAATAACAAAAGTTATATGCCAATTGCAGCTGGCCTCCTCTGGGCCTGCTGGGAAGCAGCAGCTTTTGGTGGCTGCATCACAGGCTGGGTCATGCTCCACTGCTTCTCCATCAGGACCCACTGTTGGGAATTTCAGACCCCTGCAGCCCAGCCAGTTACAGGACAGGCCCCATTGCCTTCCCAGCCCTTCTCTTGGCTCAGCATCTTCCCACTTTCCCTTCTACCTCCACCAGGCAGGAATTCACCCCAGCCAAGAGAGCAACAGCCCCAAGCACCAGCATTGCTGCCTGGCAAAATCATTACCACCCACTAAAAAAGGAAAGCTGGGCTGAGCAGGGATGCCATCTCCCACAGCTGGCTCTAGCTCCGGCCATTGCTGGATGGGTCCAGCATTAAAACCTCTGCCAGACATTAAAGGGTTGTCCTAGATCCCTGGATTAAAATGTAAATGTCCTTGAGGGTGGTGAGGGCTGGATGTGGCCACAGCAGGAAGGCTGCCACGGCTGCTGGCTATGTCTGAGCAGTTTGCTTTGCAGCTCCAGCAACTGTGCAATGCCAGCCCTGATGAACCCAGGGGACCTCCAAAGAACATCAGACTGTTTTAAAAATACTTTATTCTTTAGAAAATACAGCGGTCAGTACAGTGTGCTCTGCTCCCCAGCTTCACCCCCACCACCCGCTCTGCCGAGCTCAAGGCAACGTCGGCACTTTCAGCGCCGCAGCAGGAAAGCAGAGGGCAGGTTCCACCGACCCCGGATCCATCTTCCCGGGGAGGCAGGTGGCTCTTGAGCCCTCGCTGGTACCCAGCAGCAAGGTGCTCCCCCCCCAGCAAAGCCCAACTTGCAGCCCCAGGCTCAGCCCTTGGAGCCGATGATGGCCCCTGGTGGCTGGGGATGTCCCCAGGGGGACACACAGGGGCCGTCATGCTTCCCTGCACGAGGATTTGGGGCAACCATGTGATTCTTAAAACATGGGGCTGTCCCAGAGCAGAGAGCCAGCAGCAAACCCAGTGATGGTGGGAGCTGGGGCACATGGAGGGGGAGACCAGGGCTTGGGGTCCCCCTGGCTTCCATCCTGAACAGGGCTGGGTCTGAGTCAGGGCTGTAATGGCTACCTCCGAGGGGAAGAGCCTTATTAGGGGGAGTCAAAAAGGGGATGCAAACATCACCCAAAGGCAGTGACCTTTCTCCT